ATTTTCATGACCATGTGTTGGTGTTGTTATTGGTGAAACAGCAGTTATTGGTAATTGGTGTAGAGTGTATCAATCAGTAACATTAGGTGCAATGAGTTTTAAAGAAGATAATGGTATTGTTATAAAAGGAAATAAACGTCATCCAACCATAGGAGATTTTGTAGTTATTGGAGCAGGGGCTAAAGTTCTTGGAAATATTACTATTAGTAGTAATGTTAAAATTGGTGCAAATTGTTGGATTACACAGAATATTGATCAAGACCAAATTATCTTTATTTCTGAATATCCATCTCAAATCACTAAACCATCAAGAAAACAGTCAATAAAAGATGACAAAATAATTTTACAATCACTATCTGAAAATAAAAGTACAGAAGAACAAGAAAAATTGAGTGGAGGTAATACACCTGAACTATTTTGTAATTATACATCTGAAGAATCAACCCCAATTAACTTAGATTGTTTTGTATCTTGTCATCAATAATTTCATTTATTTCTTTTGCATTATTTTTACGGTTTTTAAATTCTATTACTTTTCATATATCATTATTACAACAACTAGATTGCAATCTTAATCTTATCTTCTTTGTTAATCATCATCTTAATTTTATTTGATTAATGGAGGTTATTGATAACGCATTAAGTACAATTAAAGATGATGATATCATTACAGGAAAACAACTTAAACAAATAATTACACCCATTAGTATTGTTTTATCTACTCTATCTATTCGTGTTTCTGTAATAGATCATTTACCTGTATTTGCTGGTTCAGGAATAAACACAAAAAAGAGGAATGAAATGAAATCTCCATTATTATCTGCTCTCCATACATTATCTGAACTAGAAGATGATAAAGTCTTATTAAAATTAAAAGGATGGGTCCATGGAAATAAGGCTATGGTGATTTATGATTCAGAATATGATGAATGGAATTCAAATATCTTTAACAAAAGAATTATATCAAAAGGTAATGTCAGTTTGTTAGTATTTACAGAGGATAAAGACATTTTTGGAATTCATTATAAAATTCCAAAAGTTAATGTAGAGTCAAGTTTAGTTGATCAAAGTCATTTTATTTTTTCAATTGAACGTCACGGAAAACCAACAAATAAAATGTGGAAGTCTACTCAAGAAATATCTTGTTTAACACTTTTTGAATCAGGGTCTTTCCTTTTTAAAACTCCTGCATTTTCTATTCAAGCAGTCAGAGGAAGAAAAGGGTCTTATGTTCAAACACAATTATCTCAATTCTACTCAATGCTAAAAGAGTCAAAACTGACATATATTCCGTATCCATCATTTTTTGAGGTAACAAGGATAGTTGGAATTGAATGGGTATAAACCTCAAACTAAAATTAGAAAACAAAAGAACTTTTTAATGTTTTATAATTTAACAGAGAAAAAGAATAATGTTTTTGGTCGTCTTAAAAATATTTTGAACTATTTATTAAATGAAAAAGTCAATAACACGTGGCTTAAAGTATTTTAATGAGAAAAACTATAAAAATGAAATTAATAAGTAAAGAATGAATATGGACTTATTTTATGATCGAAGAAGTGTCCGTTCATACACTGGAGAAAAAATTTCTGAGGAAGACATTAATAAAATTATTCGTGCTGGTTTTTATGCTCCAACTGCAGTAAATAAACAAGAAACTGAGTTTATTATTATTAGAGAAAAATCAGTATTAGAAAATATCACAAAAGTTCATCCCTATTCTTCAATGTTAAAATCATGTAGCCACGCTATTGCTGTTTGTGCTAATTTAAAGAAAGCTTATACACCTGAATACTGGGTTTGTGATGCTTCTGCTGCTACCGAAAACATATTACTTGCTACTCATATGCTTGGTTATGGGGCTGTATGGCTAGGAGTATATCCAGAGAAGGATAGAATGGAATCTATAAAAAAACTTCTTCAATTACCAGAACAAGTTGAAGTTCTTTCTATAATATCAATAGGAGTACCTAAAACTCAACAAATAACAAGACCTGAAAGATTTGATGCAACTCGTTTACATAACAATAAGTGGTAAGAAAATAATATTTAGTATTTATTTCTTTTTTAAATAAAAAATATAACAAATGATTAATTTAGATAACAATTTTAATTGAGAAATCAATAATATTATTATTGATTTCAATGATTAGTTGTTTCAATTGATTATAAATCATTGGAGAACATGAGGTAAGTTTTAATGCAACAGTAATAGTTTTGATGACATTGTCTATTGAATTACATAATAATATTTGTTGTTTTGATTCTAATGCAATAGTTTCTGCAATTATTTTATTAACTGTCATTCTTTTAATAAATATCATTTCTTCATTATTTATAGAACCTCGTTTTAATGCATTAGCACAAAACGTCACCACAATTTTATTAACTAAATCAAAGGGACATCCCTTCATAAGAGAGTCAATTGAATTGTCTGGTGCTTTACTTCCAATTAACTTCATAATGAAATCTTCTTCAAAAGTAAACAGATTTAAATCTATTCCCTTTAAAAGAATACAGAAAGCATAATAACCTTCACTCCTATTATAATTATAATTTTTAATAAATTCTTTTGTAATGTCAATGATATCTTTAATTTGAAACTGATTCAACTCACACAATTTTTTTAATATCTTTATTGCTCCATTTTCTCCTTTCTTCACTAATTTTATAACTTCTTCATTAAATGATTCACAACATGTTAATTTGATTGATTTGATAATGACCGATGATGCTCCTACAATAACCGTCTTCAACACTGGAGTAATTTTTTCAAGAAATTCTTGTGCAAGGGAAACATCTAGTATTAAGTCTATTGTAGTGAATATTTTATTTAATGAACTTGGAGATACTACAGCGGTAACAGAGCTAATGAAATCAAATGTATTTCCAAAATGTTTATATTTCTTAATAAATGAACATATTAAGTCAACTAAAAATGGGTTTGTTGCTCTTTGAGATATATATGCTATATTATTTTTTATTTCTACATACTGTTTTAGTGATTGGTCTATAACAATCTCTTGCATTTCTTTTTGAGTTTGTTCTATCATACTTGCTCGTTCGTAAAATAAAATGTAAGCACTAGATGATTTCCCTCCAAACCATGTTTCTCTTTCAGCGGTATTAACTGATCTATCATTAAAACATATCCATTTACCATTGATTAATCTATTACTAAAATAATGGCCTCCATGTGCACCTCCACTATGAATAACAATTCCAACTAATTTATACTTAGTTTCTCCTTTGTAATCATTACAACAATATTTTTTCATATCAAGTTCATTTGGATATTCAAATTTTCCATTATATTTTACAATTTCATATTGGTCATTATACACAAATCGTTTTAAATGAAACACTAATGTCTCTGGTAGTTCTTTATACCTTTCACTTCTTTGGGCGTCGTTTTGTTTTCCACATTGCTCACATCTATAATCACAAAGAATACACCCTTCACATAATGCTTGTAATGACTGTTCAATTGTTTGGTAATGTTCTACTTCAAGAGCACTACAATAAAATTGTTCAGTTCGTTTAACTTCATGACCACATTGACTTCCAATTAATATTTCCATTTCTCCTGTAAACACTTTTGATGCTGAAATAATATTTTCATAATGTTTACAACTTTCCATTGATGACATTGCTGTTGTAAAAAATTCTTGAGCATCCATCTGTTCATATGTTTTAATATCTTCGTAGCAACTTCCATGTGCTTCTTTACAAAATTCTTTTGTTTGGGTTGCACTATTAATTCCTTTTAACATATCAACAAATAATTTTTGAAGTCCAAACGTCATTTGATAGTCTTTGAATTCATTTTGATTATATGTAATAAATTGTTCCTCTTTATTAATATCTTTTTCAATTTCATTTATTTGATTATTAACGTCAAGTGTTATTTCTTTTTTTTCTTGTTCTTCTTTTGGTTTATGTGTTTGATTATCATTGGTTTCTATTAAAGTTGGTACTTTAACTTCTTTTTTTAATAAATTAGCTGTACAACGTGAAGAATGAAAAATTTGTTGTAAAACACTATTCATATAACATGTTGATCCTTGGTTAACTAATCCACCAAATCGTCCTTTCCTATAAGTAGCTCTTTCATTGCAACCGTTCATCTCTTTTAATATCTGGTTAAAATGACTAAAACATTGTGAACAAGTGATATCATCCATACATTCAACACACTCACATAATAATATGATTAAGTTATTAATTTCATCATCCTTTAAAACACTTTTCCCTTGCATTGGAAATAATTTATCTATAATATCACAGAAGTAAGGAATTAACAATATTTGTTTTTTCTTCATTGTTTTAAATGCTCTGATAGCAACGTTAAGTCCATATCCAAAATTAATAAGATTTTGTATTAATGATTGAATAAATGGATGACTATTTTCACAATTTTCATCTGCATACTCAATAATAATTCTATTACTTTCTTCAACAAGTTTTGGTGGTTCATTTAATAAAGGAACAACAGAATCAAATATTTGTTTATTAATACCATCTTTTAATGCCCTCAAAACTGGAGCGGTAAAGACATCTTTATCCCAAGGAATATTTCTTCCATTTCTTAATAAAAGAACAAGACATAAAGTCATACTTGATTTATCTAATTCTTTTTCAATCTCTTTACTAATTTGGTTAAGAATTTCTTCATTCATAATAAAGACATTTGTATTTACTTTTATTTCATTATTGATAAGAATAGAACTTAATACTTCTTTGATTCCACTTTGTTTAATTACTAATTCTGTAAATAGAATTAATAACTTTTTATACTCCTCCTCTTTTAATCCTTCTTCAATATTTTGTAATCGTGCAACCCCTAATAATTGTTTTGGCCCTTCTTTTGTTGCTAATTCAATAGCATCTCCTTCCCATTTAACATATTTATTAACCCCACATATAACTTTCATAGCATTATTTCGAGTTTTTTCATCTTCTAATAATCCAATAAGTTCTTTAATATTTTGTTCAGAACACCTTTCAATATTCTTTTCTTCCTTTACAACCACTGTACGAGTTGTGTTTGTTATAAGACTTGTTTCTTTTTTTATTGGTTCTTGATAATGTATTTCAGAATCTCCAGGAGCAATTTGAATGACCATTTCCCCCCTTTCAGATAGATAATTTCCAATATTCTTGAAAATAGGAACTTCATTCCCATTAACAAATACTTTAACTGAATATTTTTTATTCATAATCCAATTAATCGATTGTTTCATTGAATCTTGGGCATAGGGATCATGTAATAAATCTGTTATAGAGTCTAGAACTATTTTACTTATTAGAGTCATGTGTTCA